TTAAGAGAGCTTCCTTGATTGATAGTGGTGAATTGGTTATACGAGAGTTAGTCAATCTACTGCTTTGTACTGGAATCCAATTCCGGTAGTGGAGTTCTGTGTTCATAGCCTCAGCTTTCTATCCCGGTGAAGACTAGTCGTCTGCCGGGTAGTTAGACTGAGAGGGCTTGGTCAGCTTAAGAGATTCCAAGCTAATTTATGATCTTCCGCAGTTTAATCAACAGTAGATCAACCAAAGGTAATTGCAACTTGGACCTAATTGAGGAGCTAGGGGGAATCATACCTAAGTGAGTTCCCAACTTGTAATTAGTAGAGTAGTCAGTAGAGTAGTTATTAATCAATCCTTAATCTAGTTTGCTAGATAATGAACTGAAGCTGAGTAATAGTAACTCTAGAGACCCGTGGATTCGATATTTATTACTTGTGCCACTATACTGCAGTCCCTTTCATTGGTTACACTTGGCCATTGTTAGGTGTTGTGTTTTGGCGTGTCAAGTTTTTGGCGCCGTTGCCGGGGAACTTTCTAGATTATTAGGAAAGGCAGAAGTTTGTTACTTTAGCGTTTTTTTCTTTTCTTTTCTTTTCCACCCTTGCTTTTCACTTGGGTGTTTTTTGTTTCTGTTGGTGCAGATTTGAATCATGGATCCTCATGGCTTCTCCAATCATTGGGGGTATCCACCACCATCCGAGTGGTATTACCCTGAGACCCCCTGGAGCAATCAAGGAGGAGAAGACTATGGATTCGGGTTCCAGTACCAACCCCCTTGCTACGTAGAACAACTGGACCCCTGGGCATATCAAGAACAACCTTATTACCAAGAAGAATTTCTCCCACAACCAGAAGGGCCATCGGCGCTGGAGTTACCCATGGCGGCCTTCACGGGCCATTCTGCAGAGCCATGCTACACTCCACAGCCAGATCCAAACTATGAATTGAGGCTTCTCATGGAGCAGTTTGCTCGAGATTGTGAGAGATCATGCTCCAGGATGGATCATTGTGTTCAGGCCTATCGTGAAACAGAGGAGATCCTCCTGAGCCTTAAAAAGAGCGTCGATGATCTTGAGCGATCTTGTGCACAACCTGCTCCAGATCACCCTTCTGCTACCATACTAGAAGAGGAGGAGGAAGAAGAAGGCTACAAGGACATTGTGGAGCACACTGAAGCTGTCACGGAGAGCTCTCGTGATGATCATGATCAGGAATGTCCTATCATAGCCGACCACACCTTCCCACATCCCACACCAAGCTTTGAAGAGGCGGGCATGAGTGAGGAGATGCAAGAAGATCTCATGAAAGAAATTGCTTGGCAACTTGCTCTCCAATCCGTGCTAGAAGAAGAAGAGCAAGAAAGGGCGCAGAAAGAAGTTGTGGAGGATGACAAAAGTGAAGCAGGAGGAGTTCTTGATCATTTCCCAGGGGTGATACCACATATAGAAGAAAGGGAGGTTGAAGAAGAAATTGGCGTCCAGGCTGAGGACGGAGTTAAGGTGGAAGAGGCATGCACCGGCCATGAGTTACATGTGATATCTCCACCAAACTTCGAGGAGCTGCTTGGCAAGGACCCATTTGCAGTGTCTCTTTGCCAGACCAAGGCCACATCGACATCGGTCCCTCTTGGTGGACGCGATGGTGGCCAATCGATGCTGTCTTATCTGGTTTGGGGCAATGAGACGAGAGAAGAGAAGAAGAGGTCTCGAGGGTGGAGACTTCATGTGCATCAAGTGCACGAGCCTTCATCACCTGCCACACCACCTGCTTGTGACTTGAGACTCCACATTATAGATGAGAACCTCAACTTCAAGGAGGTTCTAGCATGGACCGAAACTTAGGAGCCATCGTCCGGCTCACGACGTGAAAGAAGCGCTTGTTGGGAGGCAACCCAACCAGTCGGTTTGCATTTCTTTCTCTATTTCTCCTCGGTTGAGTCAGTTTTGTTATTTGATTTTAGAGTCAATAACTCAACCTTTGTGAGATTTTGTGTGGTGTTTGAGTTCTGATTACTCTCTCTTCCTGGAATGCACCGCCTGACCCGTACATCATCATTCACCCTTGATCTGGTAACTTCGTTCTACCCTCCTTATCTTTCCTCCATTGAGGACAATGTCGTGCTTAAGTGTGGGGGGGTGTTCGATTATGTATGCGGGTGAATGTTTGGCTGTTTGTGTGCTTGGAGCCTAGTCCACTGTCCAAATTTCGATTTGAGGGCTCCAAGTACGTGTTTCCTTGCAAATTGCCTGCTCAGTATGCTTTGAATTGACAGTCTCTATAGTAATGTGCAACCTAGGGAGGTAGTGTAGCACTATGGAGGATGTTGAAGTATAAGATTTTTCCTATCTAGCTCTCTGCTGTGTCAGTTGATTTTGTGAATTAGTGGAGCTAAGACCGTTGAATTCATGTGGTAATGTGGACTCTGTTTGAATTGTGTTATGACTCGTGTATCGAACAGGGTGCTCATGTGAGAAATGAAAAGCAGTTGGTCCTCCATGTCGAAATCATTGAAATCTTAAACATGGGGTAAGCCCAACGTGTGTGGCACCGTTCATTGCACAAAATCGGGTTTTGGAAGAGATTTTAGTGATCCTTAGTGGGGTACTCCTACAAGGTGAAGCTAAGCTGTCTCTAGTACAAGTAAAACTTCCACCCGTTGAGCGGTTTGCCTACTCGAGGATGTGTTTTTAAGGGCACGGATAGAGCTTCCGACCCCCCTTAATTCCATTGACCCTCCACACGAGTTGAGGAAAAGGAGTTAAAAGAAGTACCCTGGCGAGCGCCAGGTGTACAGAAATTGCTCTTGCTCGACTAATAAGGGTCGACCGTGCAAAAGACTGCAGTTGGAACCCCTGCTAAGTGAAAGAAAAAAAACAAGGAAAATGTGAATGAAAGTGCAAAAAGGGGTTCCAACGGTGAAATGAAGTGAAAGAGCACCCCGGTACAACGAGTCCTTGGTTGTGAATGGTGTGAGTCCCTTTATCCATGAACTGATTGTCTTACTTCTACTTTTTCTCATGATCCTGGCTTGAGTCTAGTACTCGCATTGAGAGAGATAGGGAACGCCTTAGAAGACCAGTTGACCTCGTAAGCTGCTATATGATCTAGGAAATCCTCTACCGACGATCGGGGTTGTATGTTGCTATAGAGCTCTGGAGAGCTGCATTGGTTTGAGTTAGGTTTGCTTGGGGACAAGCAAACAGTTAAGTGTGGGGGGATTTGATGACTCGGTATTTGCACATGTTTTCCCTTTGTTTCTTGATTGTTTGAGCTTGAATTATCGCGTCTTTGGCCTATTTTATGCTAGGTTGTGTTCCTTTATCACATTTTAGGTCCTAGCACATAAAGTGAAGCATAGGCGCAAGTTTCAAGTCAATCAGAGATCAATTGACGATTCGAGAGAAGAAACTCGGGCATGACCTGAAGAAGAATGGATTTATACCTCACTTTATGGACAAAGAATCATGCAAGCTTGTTATGAAACGAAAGAGGACGAGACTACGAGCGTCTGGGATCAAACGGCGACTGATTCAGAGTCCGGACGAGGGAGAAACGAAGCATTAAACAGAGGCTGAGCAAGCCACACGGGCAGAGCAGAAAATCCGCATGGCCGTGCAAGGTGAGCTGCACGGCCGTGCGAGTCGTGGCCGTGCAAGGTGAGCTGCACGGCCGTGCGAGTCGTGGCCGTGCGGAAATCACCGAGCCTTCGCACGGGCAACTGGGTGAGCTGCACGGCCGTGCGGCCTGCCCGTGTGAGTCGGGAATTGCTGTTTAAAACCCGATTTTCAGCCAAAGGAAAGGGGAGAGCTGGGTTTTGGATCCCAAACACCCAAGGGACGAACCCTAGAGAGAGAGAGCGACTTGGGAACATTCTTGGAGCTATTTTGGAGGATTTCTTCGCCATTGGAGCTCAGGAATCAAGCTTGGAGATGGAGATTGAAGATCTAGATCAGATTTCTGCAGTCTCTCTCTTCTCTATGGAGTAACTTCCCTTCACTTAGGTTTTGAGGAACCCTAGTTCCATGAGTTAGGATCTTTCTTGTATGAAGTTTTGGATGCTTTATTGTTTGATTATAATCAATTGAGGCATGATTTATTGAGTCAATTGAATCTTGATCAAATTCTCTTGATTTCTGCTTTAACCTATGATAGATAGAATCTGATTAGGTTAAGAGAGCTTCCTTGATTGATAGTGGTGAATTGGTTATACGAGAGTTAGTCAATCTACTGCTTTGTACTGGAATCCAATTCCGGTAGTGGAGTTCTGTGTTCATAGCCTCAGCTTTCTATCCCGGTGAAGACTAGTCGTCTGCCGGGTAGTTAGACTGAGAGGGCTTGGTCAGCTTAAGAGATTCCAAGCTAATTTAGGATCTTCCGCAGTTTAATCAACAGTAGATCAACCAAAGGTAATTGCAACTTGGACCTAATTGAGGAGCTAGGGGGAATCATACCTAAGTGAGTTCCCAACTTGTAATTAGTAGAGTAGTCAGTAGAGTAGTTTATCAATCAATCCTTAATCTAGTTTGCTAGATAATGAACTGAAGCTGAGTAATAGTAACTCCAGAGACCCGTGGATTCGATATTTATTACTTGTGCCACTATACTGCAGTCCCTTTCATTGGTTACACTTGGCCATTGTTAGGTGTTGTGTTTTGGCGTGTCAAGCATGAACTCTTATCTAGACAAATTCTTGCAAAGTAAGATGAAGTTGTTTGAGTTTGTCAAGCAGTTTGACATGGCACTTTTGTATAGGAGACAAACTGAGTTACATGACCAGTTTAAGACAATACATATTGATGTTGTTTTGATGACACATTTACATGAAATTGAAAGACATGCCTCTATAGTATATACAAGAAATGTGTTCAGGAGCGTTCGAGCAGAAATAGCGAGAGAAGTTCATTACTATATTACAGACAAGTGTGTGTTGACCAATAAAACAATTTACACATTGTCACGATTCAAATACCCTGACTCAAAGTGCACCGTGGTCTTTTACACGAGTGGACATGATGTGCATTGTTCTTGTGGCATCTTTGAGTTCTGCGGAATTCCATGTCGGCATATATTCTGTATATTGAAAGCAGAAAATCAAATACAAATTCCAAAGTCACTCATTTTGAAGCGTTGGACTAAAGATGCAAAAGAGTTCGATCCCTCGAGTATGGGAAGCTTTCCTACCCAGCAAAATATTAGCAGGTATTATAAGTTTAAGGTGTTCATTTAGTTCTTTGTTTACTTCTATTGTGCTTGGAACCAATTACAAAATTGCTTGTTTATTTGGACAGGTTTGGATTCTTGGTTGGTCAATGTAGTAGAATGTGCCATTATGATGTGAGTTAGGATGAAGCATTTTATACTGCCAAAGGGTTGATTGAAGACTTGACCTTGCGAGTGAAGACAATAAGTGAAGAAACAACCAACAAAACAAATAATGCTACTACGGATGTTGGAGTGAACTCCTCTCAGTTTATTAAGGACCCCCATCCAGTCCGAAGTAAAGGGAATGTGAAGCAACCTCAAGTGAAAACACGGTTGTGCAAGTATTGTAGGCGTCCTAAACATACAATCGAAAATTGTCCGCTGAAAAGAATGGCTGAAGCAGGTGCAGGTGATAGTCATTTCACGCAACAAGAATACAACTTAGAGTCCATAGGAGCAGGTGAAAGCAGCTTTCATGTGGAGACTCAAGAATCTGTTCTACTTCCCAAACGATCCAAGCACAACCTGTAATGCTGGTGTTCGACTTCAAACAACATTATGTTTCATCTTGTAATGTTTGTTTTGTGCAAGTTAGTATCTAGTGACATTGAATGGATCTATGTAATGCTCGTGTCTAGCTTCAAAGAACATTATGACTCATCTTTTCATATGCTTGTAGTTTTCATAAACAGTATATTATGTTACTTACACCATTATAATAAGTACAAGGGTTAGTTCTACAGGTGAATGTCTGTGCAGACTATTTCTGGAAATCTCACTGCCAATTCTGGAAATCCCACGGCCGTGAAAGCAGGCGTGATTTTGGATTTGTAATTGTGGAAATATCACGGCTGTGAGAAAGGCCGTGAGAGTGACCGTGGATGTAAAAATGCACTTTTCAGTTTCCCAGAGGTTTTCACGGGTTGCCTTTGACAGTATCACGGCCGTGAGATGAGCCGTGTTTTGGATTTGAATGCTACACATCTCACGGCTCATCTGTAAATTCTCACGGGCGTGAGAATAAGCCGTGAGATGATCGCAGCTGAAATCCAAAAACACGCCTCATAACTGGAATCTCACGGCCGGGAGATGTACCGGTAGATTTTTTTTAAAAAGGGGAAGTTCCAGGGGTTTTCACGGGTTGGCGTCGACATTATCACGGCCGTGAAATGGGCCGTGTTTTTGGTTTGACATGATGGCCATCTCACGGCCCCTCTGTAAATTCTCACTGGCGAGAGAATAAGCCGTGAGATGTTCGCAGCTGAAATCCAAAGACACGCCTCATAACTGGAATCTCACGGCCGGGAGATGTACCGGTAGATTTTTTTTAAAATGGGAAGTTCCAGGGGTTTTCACGGGTTGGCGTCGACATTATCACGGTCGTGAAATGGGCCGTTTTTTTGGTTTGAAATGATGGACATTATCATGGCTCATCTTTATATTCTCACGGGCGTGATAATAAGCCGTGAGATGGGAATCCTAAAAACTAACCTATGCATATTAGAATTTGAAACCCCCCCCCCATATTTTGTTCGAACCCTCTTCTCCTCTGTTCTACTTCGACCCCCAACCCTCTACTCCCTTTGTTCTACTTCGACCCCCTCGCCCTTGCGCGCTCGCCATCGCCGTAGATTGCTCGCCCTAGCCCTCGCTCGCTCGCCCTCGAAGATTCTTCCGCCGCCGACCACTTCCCCACGATTCCTCCTCCTGGTAACTGCTCCAAGGTTCAGTGGCGACGGCGACCATTTCCGCACGAGTCTCTGCCCTCTGTTCCACTTCGATCCCCACAAGGCCTCTGGTGAGTTCTTCTTAACCACAGCGACACTCTTCTCTGGTTTCTTGCATTTTTTAGGGTTTAGTTGCCCAATTTTGGTTGGTCTGAATTAGGGTTTTGAATTGGTGGGATGACTTCTCCAGAAGGCTTCATGGTTTGTTCTTCTTCTATCTTCACCCCGCAGCAGCCTCCTGATTGATGACAGCTATTGCTTGATTTTGAGCTCTCCGTTACTCAAATTCTTCTTTCGTTTCTCCCCTTTGTTGTTGTTGTTGTTGGTAGTGGTGGTGTTGCTGTTGTTGTGACTGACTTACTGCTCTGATGCTCTTACTATTTGCTGGTGGCTATAGCAGTACTCGGTTTTTCCCTTTTGCAGTCGGTCTAAGTTTTGCGGGAGAATTGCATTACTGATTTTGTACTTAGCTGGAAACCCATTTATATGGAGGCAGATGCTCTTGTTCATCACTGCTATTGTTATTACAAACCTGATTTAAAATGAACTTCAATTGATGGGCAGTTTATATGGCTAATGGTAGTTGCGGGTTGTAATGTCATAAAAGCATGAATTTAGGTTAGCTACAATATTTCTGCTACTTGATCTAGCAATTGATGGTGTAGACATGATTAGAATGCTCCTGGGATCTTCACCCTTGACGTCACATTGAGTATACCACCTCGTCGATCTCTAACGAGGGAAGCAAGGAGAACAAATTTTCCAAGCTGGATACTATCCTTGGACAAGGAAAGAAGCAAAGAGATGGAGATCGAAATACAGAGAGAGATTGAAATACAGAGAGATCGAAATACATAGAGAGAAGTTTTGAGTGGGAGGGATGCAATGGGTGAAAGACCCCTGACCAAGGATTGCATCTAGCTTGGAAAATTTGTTCTGTCCGGTATCACCCCAGCTCCAAGGGGAGTTACAATAGTAGAGGATACCTTGGAGATCGACGAGGATGGAATACTCAAAGAGACGTCAAGGGAGAAGTCTGTAAGTCTATATCTTCCAGTATCTTTGTTGAAAACTGGAAAGCATACCAGATTCCTTGATTTGTGAATTGCATATGCATAATTCTTTTCCCTCTCATTCACTATAGACTAAATGTGCTTAGTTGGTTTTTGTAGGAATGGGGAAAGCTAAACAGAAAACCAGGCAACCATCAGCCTCACCTGCTAAAGTGAAGGCTCCTTCTCGTCGTCGCCGCCAAACCCAAGAACGAGACACTCCCCCCAAACGACAACGCACAAACAACCAAGGACGGGCACGCCAACCATCTCCACCACCACCACCACCACAAGCGGAGGCTCAACTTGGAGGAGGGAGACTTCACGGCTTCCTCCAATTACCCGTCGAACATAGGAGGGCTTTGGAGCGCTTCCTTCCCCTCCCATTTGGGCAGCAAAGATGCTTTGATTGGGATCTCCTAGAGCGCCTCGGAGCAGCGGACCCCGTTAGGACATGCCTCCGTCTCCCGGCATGGTGTGAGGTTCTCTCCATCAATGAGGTCATCTACCGAGAGCTTACCATTGAGTTCCTTAGCACTCTCTCCATCAAGAAAATGTCCGAGTTTAACCTCGACAAGCCCGAAGACAACATAACTTTTTGCCTTGGAGGACAGGCGAGACAGATGAGCATCACTGAGTTCACAGAGGCACTCCAGATATACCCACCAGGATTTCTCACCACAGATGGACATGGTTTTATTTCAGAGAAAATATATCATCCAAGAGCACCATCGGTCAATGCTATGTGGACAAGGTTAAAACAAAACCATGTGGCAAAGTCTGACCCTGCCCACTATAAAGGGAATGATCTTCTTCCCCCGTGGCGTATCATCCACAACATTATCGCTCATTCTGTGGCAGCTAGGGAGGGGAGCCCGGGGAGTGTGACCAAGCGGGATTTGAACTTTTTCCTCTCTATGGTAAAAGATCCCCCAATTCATCTTGGTTTAGTCATATTGAAAACCCTACAGAAGATGACCTCCAACAAACAAATCAAGACCATCCATGGAGGTGCCTACATCACAAGGCTAGCTCGGCATTTTGGCATTGATCCGGTGGGTTCTCATTGCACCATTGCCCAGTCCACTCAACCAATCTCCCAAAAAAACCTTGCGGATCTATATTTGTTGTCAAAGGTAAATGTTCCAACCAACACTTTCCTTTTCACAGTGAATGCGAAAACAGAACTAGTCGGGATTCAAACAATCTAGGATTGATTTTGTACAAGTTTTGGATTGCCTACTAATCTAGTTCCTTTTGAACATTGAGCAAATGTAACTAATGCTTCTGATATTGATCATGTCTGTGTTTGGTGGTTAAGGAGAATGGTGTGGTAGGCATTGTTGGCCTCCCTCATCCTACTCCACCTCTTGCAATAGATGAGGCAAACGCATCGGAGCATGTTGTTCAGCAAGTGGTCGAGGAGACTCCGGAACAACCTGCACAACATCACCAAGCTACGACTCAAGCCGGACCATCCACCGACAGCTACATATCCCATTTTGAGGCATTGGGTCGGCAGAATGCCCAAATTCTGGAGCAAAATGCACTCATTCTCTCCCGCCTCGATCGAGAGAAGGAAGCTCGACGCTACATCATCGAATGCAACCATCAGATCATGAGGTCCTTGAGGATTGACTACAAAAAATTCTCAAGACCTTGGGAACTATCTCCTAGGCCAACCGAGGAAAGCAATGAAGAGGGAAGTGAAGAGGACAATGACACCAATGAGGAAGAGGGCAGTGAAGAGGACGACGAGGGCAATGGCGATGACCAAAACAAGGAAAAAAATCAAGAGGACAAAGGGACCAATGAGGAAGACGGCAGTGAAGAGGACGACGAGGCCAACGACGATGAACAAAACAAGGAAAGAAATCAAGAGGACAAAGGGACCAATGAGGAAGAGGGCAGTGAAGAGGACGACGAGGCCAACGACGATGAACAAAACAAGGAAAGAAATCAAGAGGACAAAGGGACCAATGAGGAAGAGTGCAGTGAAGAGGACGACGAGGCCAACGACGATGAACAAAATAAGGAAAGCAGTGAAGAGGACAATGACACCAATGAGGAAGAGGACAGTGAAGAGGACGACGAGGGCAATGGCGATGACCAAAACAAGGAAAAAAATCAAGAGGACAAAGGGACCAATGAGGAAGACGGCAGTGAAGAGGACAACGAGGGCAATGACGATTACCAAAACAAGGAAAAAAATCAAGAAGACAAAGGGACCAATGAGGAAGAGGGCAGTGAAGAGGACGACGAGGGCAACGACGATAAACAAAACAAGGAAAGAAATCAAGAGGACAAAGGGACCAATGAGGAAGAGGGCAGTGACTCTAGCGAGGACAATGAAGATGAGCAAATCCAGGAAAACAAAGACGAGGACGAGAACACTAATGAGAAAGATGGGCAGTGAAGATGAGCCAACC